GCTTGTGTTTCCCCGGTGACGCACGACACTCCAGGCAACCCCTGGTGGCAAAAAATAAGCGCCAGGGGCCCATCCCGTGTTCGCGTTCTGGGGAAAATTCGAGAATCGATTACCTGGTGAAAAGGTGAATGGGGGCCTCGGTAGATGAATGACTGACCAAATGCTCGAGAAACCTGCCGAGGGTCTGCTCACTTGAGCGATGCCCAGGCCGGCGGCTTGTTTGCTGGGTTGTGATATGCGGGTTGCGATTTGCGGACACACGACTTGACTCTTGAATTCAGAACCTGGGAGCACCAGGGGATCGCTGGATTTCGTTGATAGCTGATCAATTTACAGGTGGTGTCAATCGAAACAGACACTTTTGGAGCTCGCTTTCCCACTGGAGCTAAGGGTGACTGGTCGGCGGAATCGCCTCCCCCTGCCCCTGCGGCTCACCAAAGCACAAGATGGGTGTTGAACATGCGGCCCGAAAACGAAAAAACTTTGAGCTCCGCTTTTGGGCGCGACTCGCCAGGATTTTTGCTGCAAGGCACTGAGTGAAGTTCGGCTTCTCGATGATGAGCGATGCCAGGACGGTGCAAATGAATCCTGGTCACTGAGTGGGTGGGTGGGTGGGTGGGTGGGTGGGTGGGTGGAAGGGTGGGTGGGTGGAAGGGTGGGTGGGTGGGTGGGGGGTGCGTGCGTGCGTGCGTGGGTGTGGGTGGGTGCCCGACTTAGGGACAAACCGCGCGTCTTGTGCAGGCGTTCTGAGTGAACATCCGCACCTGCAGTTTCATTCGATCAAATCGAGACCACATCTTGCCGCCCCCAACGGAACCCCCCCTGAAATTGGCTTGATGCAGAAAATTTGCCAAGCAGGTTGACCAAAGTCGTGGCTTTTTTTCGTACTTCGAAACCTGGGCAACCCTAGGCATCTGGTGCTCTACGCGGCGACTTCGAAGCTCCTTTGAAGTAGTCCCAGAGCGCGGCAGTTGGGCCCACTGCGAAGGAGAGGAGGAAGAGCATCACCTGTTTGGGAAATTCCGTTTGCTTTTTCAACCCGCAGCCATTCGGATTTTGGCAGCCCATAAGCCAAAGGCAGCTTTGTTGAAGCCCCTAGCTGTCTGTGGTTATAGCCGTTTCTGTGATAACAACACTTTGAAGGGGAATGAATGGCACAGAAAGTGGCACCAAAGCCAAATCATGTCCCCACATGAAGTTGCCCTCTCCAAAATTGAGCCCCTACCCAATTGGCCGGTTTTGTGAGGGCCAGCCACCTGGGAGAGCCCTTGCGGGTTGCATTCAGGGCAAAGATGACACATATTACCACCCAGCGGGTTACATAAAAAGGGAACCTTTCTTTGCTTCATTCCATTTTGAGTTGCTTCAGAACCCACCAAGCAAAAAGGGATGTTTCAGGATGGAATTCAGTCCGCCGAATAGTCGGGACGTCATTCCCACAGACCTTGTTGTCTGGGACGTCATTCCCACAGACCTTGTTGTCTGGGACGTCATTCCCACAGACCTTGTTGTCTGGGACGTCATTCCCACAGACCTTGTTGGTTCTTTGCCCTTTTGCAAACACAATGACTGGACAACTGTTGCCGAGCCAGCCTTCGACCCCCGTTTGCTCAGCTTCCCTCTAATTTGTGGTTTGGTTTTGCGGTTTGGTGGCTCAGGGCACCTTCCGTTTACCCTCTACGCCAGGGGTCAACCCCTAAACCACCAATCCAAACCACGAACTATAAGGGTTACCTGATTTGCTGATCGGCAAAGGTAAACACAGCGAGAACGGCTAGTCTGGCAATGACCAGGGCCCAATCACCGCAGCAGGCCCTCCTACATTTCACGTTTTCCCTTTGAACATCGCCGCCAAAAAAGAAAACTCACCTTTAATGGGCCCAAGGGCTGATGCTCTTTGGTCATGGTTACGATATATGTCACCTGTTGGTGGCTTCAAACATCAGCTGGGTTGGTGGTTTCAAACATCAGCCCTTGGGTGGGTGGTTTTAAGCAGCAGATCCCCCCCCAAAAATTCGCGTCGGCAAGTCTGGCCTCGTACCACGAGAAAAGGCATAGGCCTCGGCTCCGGGAAGCTGTGCTCACTCTGGCGAATATGGGGATATCTCAACATCTAGGTCCTCCAGTAGAGAGGTTAGAATAAGGGTACCCTTTTTCTGTAGTCTATTCTAGTAGGCGAACCCTCCCCAAAAAGGGGAGAGAGGGGCACTACTGGGGGGCCTAGACATGGTACCCTCAAACGGGTGGTCTCCTCAAACGACCTCAGAGAAACAAAAAAAAAGCAACCAAAAGGGAATCTACCATCGTGAGAGACACTCATAGTTGCCGCAAACCACAGGGTTTTCCCTGAAAAACCCACAGACCAAATTGATTCTGACTCTTCGATGGCTTTTCGCGTGGGTCGCCCCTGGTGATGGCCTAAAGGTGAATAGTCAATGTGGAAGCGCCAGAAGACGCATCCACCTTTCAGTTCTCCTTTTTCATCGCTCCGCCTGCTGGTTCCTTGGCTCCAGCGTTCCATTTGACTTGAGAAGTGCCAACCTTATGGTACCAGGCCCCCAAGGGGCATGTGACTTGCACGGAGCGAATTGATTTGCTTCCGTTTCCCCAAATCATGGAAGTAGACAGGGGCTCCGAAGCCACGAGGAAAACCGTCGCCCATTGCCCTCCTGTCAGCTTCCATGGAGGGAGGACATCCCTACGTCCAAAGTCAAAGCCCGCGAACCTCAAACCAACGGGCGGTCAGCCTCGTGGCATTTTCTGGCTTGGGGGGGTGATTAGATTTGGGCGGCTTTCCTCCTGGCTTATCCAAAACAGGCCCCTCATGGACAAACCGACCCAACTTCTGACATGTTCCTTGGCTGCAGTCGATGCCGAACAAATTGCTTTCTTCCGGCCAGGGCATCAGCCGCTTTAGGCTGAGTTAACATTGGCATCGCACGCTCTGTTCTGCTTGTCATTCCCCCCCCCGTTCCGCGAGTGAGCTCGCTCAAATGATGAGTATTTTTCGCAGCGCATGGGTGCGTCTCATATGGGCCCTAGGGAAGCCTGTTCTGCTCGGCTCATTCTTGGGTCAGCCAATCTTCGGAAGACTGGATATGTCTTTAACACGGAATCCCCATGTAAGGGATCATCAAAACCCAAAGTACGAATTGGATCCCCAAGTAAAGAACCTGACTCATGGACAATTTGCTGTTTGTACCTGGGCCACTACGCTCGCCATAGGAAGATACAGTATGGGTGTGTCTCAAAAAAAGGGACACGCCCGCAAATGAGAAAGGCGCCCTCCCAAAAAAGACATACCATCTCTACCATTTGCTTACAGAATTCCGACCGGTAGGCTCCTCCTCTCTACTTCCATATGCCCAAGCCTTCGGGGAAAAATAAACATATTTCCAGTCGTGAAATCGATTCCCTTTAAACCCAAGCAGGGAACATAATTTATGTTCAACCTTCATTTCAGCCAATGGCCTCTTTAAAGCCAGAAATTTGGCTACTGGGCCCCAGCTCCCCAGCGGCGCTTCGTGTCGATTCCAATCAAGCGGCACCGGATCTGGATGCCCCGCCCGTGACGGTGCAGGAGGCCTCAGCGCTTTGCGACCGCCCTGGGCGGTTTTTTTTGGAAAATAGATGGGGTTTCCCGGGTAAATGGAACCAAACCCATCTAAAGCAGTGCCGGCTATATTTGTTCAGCAAACTAACCCACAAAGGACACCTATGGTTCGTGCGCTTTGTGGGTTGCTTGTTCTTTGTCGATGAGGATAGGTAAACCAAAATAAACGCACCGACTACTCATTCAGTTTTTTTAATGGTCGGGTTTTGGCCTGTAACCATAACACGCGCACCACCACAATCTGCACAATTTGTTGGTACATGTTCAGGTTCAGTCCATGTCTGCAAGGCTTCTTGGAAAGACGGTGAACCTTTCACATGCAGTGTACCACATGATCCTCCTCGTTCAATCTTCCATTTAGAAAAACAAACGAAAAACATTGAATATATTTAGCGCAGCATTATTTACAAGCAAGCACAATGGGTTCTCACAAGCAATGAATGGTGTCGATACCATAAGAGCGTTAACACTTTACGACTTAAAGTCTTGTCTCGACAAGGCAAGGGCAGTGGGTTAAGCCTCATGCAAAGATAGGGGGATTGTACCCGAGTCATTGAAATAGGCATCTCTCATATGGCGCAACGTCTTCCCCGCATCGGCCTTGATCCGTGAGTTTCGACCGCTGGGGGTGGCTGAAGAGCCCTACATGAGCAGAGCCAAGCCCAGCATCCGAAGCTCGGGGCTCCGAAGTCCGGAAGTGACGCCAAGCTGCACTGCTGGGTGAAGAGACCTATGGCGCGCAAGTCAATTGCTCCAGTTCAAGAGCCAGGGCCTCTGTGGGTGCAAACTGTTTGAGGAACCAAATCCGTTTTGAGCAAGACCTTTTTGGATGGTTCTAGGGGTTGATTCCCCATTCTTTTCAACCATCCTTCTTTTCAAAAACCAGCTGGCTTTTGGAGGCTTTCTAAGCAGGATCCCTGCAAAGAATGGGGAAGATAGCACCAGAATGGCTTCAAAAAGGAGTCCAAAGGGCACCAACCACCTGGACACTCAAAAAGGAGATCAGCAGGCGGCCTTCGATGCGTCGCTTCCCTCCGCGTCTCAGAGTCTCAGAGTCTCAGAGTCTCATCTCTGCCGAGGCGCGGGTCACAAAGTGCGCCTGCCAGCAGAGTTCATCCCGTATTTGGCTGTGGTTGTCAAAACCCATGGGATCCCATTTTGGGGTAGGTGCACTACCCATGTTAGAACCGATTTTAGTGGGTGTTGGGATGTTCACTGGGGGTACGGGATTTTGATCCAATGGCCATTTAGAACCAAAGGGGAACTTCGAAAAAGAAGGCAGTCGAGGGCCTAAGAAGCTCAGCGAAAGGCTGGCGGAGAGTCAGCACTGGCATCCATTCAGGACCCCTGTTTCAGACACACGCCCAGCGCTAACTTGAGAAATCCCTCAAGCCGCCAAGACCCCTTCCTAAGACCCCGATGCCCGGAAGCCGGAAGGATCCCCTGCCGTTTCCTGGTTGCTAGAGGGACCCCTCTGCAAAACGCGAATCACTCTTTGCGGGTTCTATTTACGGAAAAACTCAAACAGATTTCATCCTTACCCAGTAGCAAGTTGGGTAACGGATCTCTTGTGGCCATCGGTTTACGTCTTGTTCTGACCGTTGAAACCAATACTCGGTTGCTTTCTGCTCCCCTTCCAAAAGTTTAACATTTAAATAACATTTAGTGGTTTAATGGAAAACCCATTGGTTGGCAAAAAGCTAAAGTCCTAACATCCAAGCAAAATGCACCAAAGAATAGCACTGGGCCCCCCGGCCAGGAGCACGGAGCCCAGGAAGGAGCTGTAGGTGAGCACCGGCCACACCTTCTCTGCGTGGCTGCTGCGCAGCTCCGCCTCACTGTGTCACAGGCTCGCTCGCGGCTCCGGGGTGGTGGGGGTGGTGGGGGTGGTGGGGGTGGTGGGGGTGGTGGGGGTGGTGGGGGTGGTGGGGGTGGTGGGGGTGGTGGGGGTGGTGGGGGTGGTGGGGGTGGTGGGGGTGGTGGGGGTGGTGGGGGTGGTGGGGGTGGTGGGGGTGGTGGGGGTGGTGGGGGGGGGTGTCCTTCTTGGGCAAATCGATGGCCCTGGCAAATGATTAAACCACCAGGCAGGAATCGCCATCTATTGTTTCTACCAAAACCACCAAAAAAGCACCTACTGTGAACATGTCTGTCTCTTTTTTCGGCAGTTTGGGAGGTTGCTCTGAAGCGGTTTCCTACGCGCTTCGGGTGTTGCCAGGTGTCCTTCCATCGCATGGTGTGCCTTGTCCACTGGGGGGACTGCCTGCAGCCTACATTTCGATGGCCCCTTGAAAGTCGGGAAAAGTACCGTCAAAAATGCAGACACGCGCGCACACGTCCCGTTTCAACATCCGGAACCCTGAGACATTCGGGAGAAGTCTCTCGAAACTTGGCTTGTGTCCTTGAAGTTTGCTGCCTCGAGCTTTGCTACCTCGAACTTTGCTGTCGCTCCTCATAATACATGCTGCATGTCCGTATGTAAGCCGTGGCATCTGACATACCAAAGAGATTTGGACATTATAAGTAAATTATAAGCGGATACTGGCAATGACTTCCCCCCAAAAAGGACCTTCAGATCCTTGTGTCCATGCAATGTGGTTGCCGGAAGAGAGGCAAACACTTACCCACCGAGGTAAAGGATTCTGCGCAAACCCCAGGCACGCCTCGCCATATCTCGGCCCCGCGAAAACCGTATCTGAGGCTTCGGCCGGCTGGCTCACCAGGACCACACAGCCCAGGGCAAAGCAGAACATCCTCAAGCGAACGCCCAAGTCGTTCCTTTGGGTTCCCAGTTTCACTTTGCGGAACCAAGGTTCAAACACACCATCCGCTTTGAGTCCTATTTCCAAAAGGATCCGCAAAGGATCCGGCCCTTTTCGACATGGTGCGGTTCGAGCGTTAGCGTGGGCAACCCTTGGGGTCCCCTCGCAAGCGGGCCACGTTCTCAGCCTCACTTGCCTGGAAAATGTCAGCCGAGCACCTGTTCAACCCCTACAAACAGAGGAGAAAATGGAAACACCTCGGTGAAAAGGTCGACTTTGGACAACTTGCCCCAAGCGCCTGAGGTTTGGTTTGGGGCCCGCATAGAAGAGTTCCAAAAAGCCCATTCCCTGGTTGATTGGGGGGGAGGGGGGGGGGGAAGCCCGCATAAAAAAAAATCCATGAACCATGAATATGCAGGGTTCACTCCAGAGTCCACCCTGAACGGGGGGGTGAAATCCACTAAGCCACTGGGGCAAACAAAAGAGGCTTCCTCCAACCGACCTTCCCACCATGAAACTCAGAGGTTTCAAACCCCTGCTGCCTCATAGGGGCATATGAATCTATTTGTTTGGGAGACCCTCTGGGCATCATCTAGGCGGGGGCTTGCGTCCACCAAACACTGCAACCACTGAGAACCTTCCAAGTCTCAAAGTTCATGGCCATTTGGGGAACGACAGGCACGTGTTCTTCGTTTTGCCGAGCATCAGCACCAGGATCCAGGAGGCGTAAAAGAAGTGCCAGAACACCTCGAGATCTCGGGTGGGGGATCCTGCTGCCTTAAAACTGGGCAGAACCCAACAGGCAAAAAAATCAAATGCACACTCATCTGGACCAGGGACATTCTGGGGCTTTGACCAAATCTGGGCCAAAGCGGAATCCCAAAGAGAAAACCTTCGATTCGCATCGAATCGTGGGAGAGTGGGTTGATTCAAACATGGGGATGCATATCCATTCACTCACGGTGACCTCATCGCAGGGGTTTAGCTTTTGAACCCCTAGCTTTGTCACATGTTCCGGAAACTCCCGGCAATTGACTCCACATTCTTAACCGTCGTTCTCAACAACCTGCCGTCCTCTCGGGTCTTTTCTCCCCTGGCTCCTTTCAACCAAATTTGCATCACGGAAGCCCACCTTTCGGCTTGCCAGGCCGCGATGCCGGGGAAGTACATGGCGTAGACCAGGGTGCTACTGCCCATGCGCTTCAAGTCGGTGAGATCCGGCCCTCGGTAGCTGTCCTCGGATCCGGGCATCGATTGCTTCAGACCGCTCGGCGGGCGATTTCATCCCCCCCCACAACGAAGCCACCCTTCGTGCGTGGTGGTGGGATGTTGGTGGGAGGGGACCGGGGAACTTCTCCGAAAAATCACACATCACGCAAGGGCACTCAACCCTCCATTTGCTCAAGTGTCCTGGAATCAATAAACTATTTCCAGTAGTGATAGATGCCCTTTGAAACTAACCCGGGAAGACTGAACTCCTGTTCTTAAGCAAATGGAAGTCGCATGACCCAAAGGGCCATGCTTCAAGACATGAACCACCCCTGGGCTGCAGAAAGGCGGCCGGGATCAAGAAAGGCGGGGAATGGTCCCATTCCCAGAAGTTTCCTGAACATAAAAATCAACCAAGCAGTTTATTCATAGGGGGGTGCTTGTGAAATGTGGGCAATCACACCTCTTTCGGAGGGGCCCCATCCGCTATCCCCATGAAAAAACCTGAGGTTGGTTAATATGGGGTCATCATTGTCTGGGCTACCCTCACTCCCACCAATTTTCCATGGCACCTGACAGTGTGACAGAGGTTCCTTTGAGGAAATTGATCTTCCAGGCACCCTCCCAGAAATGCTATGTTAGTAGGCTGCTACTCCAAGAAAGGCGGCCAACAAATCACAAAAGCGAGTTGCCTCGACTGTTTTGTGGCCCGTTTGGTTTCTCAACGGCCATCCTTTGGCACCCAGTACCGAAAACCCAAAGGCAGCTGATTCAAGCAACAGCGGCTTAAACTTGAATTTGTGTGGCGTTTGTGAGGCTCGGAGTTTTTGTCGGCTCTAGCGGGGAATGGGTCAAAACTAAACCATCAAAGGACCGCAGGTTTTAGTGTTTGGTTCCATTTACCAGGGCCACCCATTTCGCCATTTGGGGGTACCCTATTTTTGACCAACAGCCATTTGGACCCACAACCAGAAAAGATTCCATAGACTTGAGCCCGGACCCACCCCCCGATCTGTCCGCCTGCCAACCCATCCCCCCTACCTTAAGGGAGAGGCGTGTGGGGGGTCCCACAATTCCATTTACTGCGGGAAATTAGGAAATCTCCCACAATTTCGAATCTTCCCCACAAAAAAGGAAAATGGGTCATTTTAACTTGCATTTGGTTAAGACCCCTGGAAAGAATAAAAATATGTCCAGTAGTGAAATCGATTCCCTTTTAAAACCAACAGGGGAAAATCAAAACATATTCATTTCAGCAAATGGAAGCTACATGGAGATCTCCAGAAACCACCCCCCTCCCCCAATTCCATTCTGAAGGGGAGAACGAGCCGAGCCGCCGGCACCTCCGCGCGCCGGCCGAAGAGCACCTGCCGGGGCAGCGCTAAGATCTGGCGCCGCAGCTTCACGTGCAGCAAGGAGTTGTAGCACCTGCACGCAGGGCACGAAAGGAAGGGGCTGGCAGTGGGCACTTGTTTTTTCCTCTTTTTTTTTCAAAAAAATATATTATTGCTATTAGTTTCTTTCTTTTTTTTGCTCGGAGGGTGGGCTGATTGGCTTGGCTTGGTGGCCTTTTGCAAAAAGGAAACAAACCAGAAGGAGAAACGCAACACATTAATGGGCGCCCCAAAATGCAGGGATCCCGAAAAGTGTCCCCTCCAATAAAAACATCATCCAGAGAAAACACTCACTTGAAACTGGCAACCAAAACGTGTTCAAGGCCACCAAGAGAAGAAAAAACATCCTACAGGGAACCCATTGCCAGAGGAACATGAGGAACCCTCTGGAAATGACCGCAGTTTGTCTTTGGGGTTCCAACTGGGCAAGCCCCATCGTTGGAGGGCGCCGGCGTACCGAAACTATGGGAGGAACGCTGGTGACCGAATTACGTCAAGGTACCCCTTGGGGAAACGTGAGGAACATAGGCGGCACAAAAAAAGGATGGCGCTGGTAAATGGATTGAACCCATGTAAACCAATGCCATCCATCGTTAACTCTTAACTCTTAACCTTACTGGATACCCCCAAAAATGTGCGCGAGACTCAGAAGCCCCGTCGCGGCAAACCTTTGCACGAAAAGCCCAGGTGCATCCTCAATGGCAACCACCGGAACTCTTCTTTTGAAACGAACTCGCCGCTCGGAACCTTTTTGGGGTTCCTCGAATGTCGAAGCCAACTGGGAAAGTATTCAAGACAATTCCAGCAAAAAACCCAGGTAGGAACCATCCAACCAAACCACCCAGAAGACAACCCCGGTGGCCCCAACTCCAAATCGATCCGTCCAAGGCGCACTGCCACGAGGAAGACCAGCAGCTGCAAACGGATGGCCAGCACCAGCAAAACGTCCACCAGGCTCAAGGGGTAGAGCCTAGCTTCGGCTGTCTTACCCATGGCTTGCTTGGGGGGTTTTACGCTAGCTTCTTGGGCGTCTTGACAATGATTTGGTGTGCTTTGCTTTCTTGCCTTTCTTTATTTCTTTATAATCTGTGTGCTTTTTTTGAGGGGGGGAGGGAGGGTTGGGCTGTTGAGCTCCTAATTCAATGAAACGCTAAGCTATGATGGCTCGCCTTCTCTCGCCGTTCCTGGTTTCCCAAAAGAAGATTAACTTTCAAGTGGCCCACAAGATGATGTTCAAACCAACCAAACGGGGAAGGAATGCTGCCTGTTTCAGCTGCGGTCATTTTCTGAAACGAAGGACTGGAAAGAATGCAAAGGAACGCCAGGGCAAGAAGGGCAATATCAGGGTCAAACTTCGTGGGCGCTTTGGGTACCAAGACCAAATTGAGACACAACAGTGGGGGTATACGATTGGACATGTCTCGTGGCCACGGGTCCAAATCCCGTACCCCCAGTGAACATCAACCAATTCCCACTAAAATAGGTTCTAAAATGGGTAGTGAATTTTCCTACCAAACAAAATGGGATCCCATGGGTTTTGACAACCACAGCCACGTCGCCCTGTTTTCCAGTTGAGTCTGGCACATGCAAAGAGTGGACGCGCTAAACCTCCGAGCCGCTTCAGAGACTCCGCCGCACTCAGGCCGTTGCCCTCCGCGATCCTTTCGCGAACGACGCCGGCGAGCGCGAGGCTTCATTGGTTACGCGCAAGCTGAATTCATTTCGGGGCCCGACATGAACCATATGGGTATGGGTCCAAATTATACCACCAGGGGACAGGTGGTCCCCAACCTGTGCAAAGTGGCCGAAAGGAAGAAAACAAAAAAAGAATCCCGTGCGGCTTTTGCACGGAGGGGATGCAGTCCGCAAGTTGATGCAGTGCCAATGGCATTTTTCAAGCCGTTGCCCCCCCGTTGAAAGGAAGCTGGTCTTCGAATGGCAACCAAAAGTGATGCTGCATGCGTTTGGGACAAAATCCGCGAGAGCGAGCCCTGCAGCAGGAACCGTGTCAAATGTACCTGGGTTCAAATGGCCTTTCCCGGAAGCCACCATAGCCTTTGCCATGTGGAGTTCCAACTCCAGGCTACGGCTGTAGGGCCCCCCATTCTATGTGTTGGCCCGTTCTGCCAGCCAGTCGACCGAAACAAGAAGCCGAAAAGGAACTATAGATTCAAGGGTTACCGGTTTGGGGCCCAAAAGGAAACAACAAACCGTCCAAGTGCGCTGCTCGCACATTTTACGCTTGAACAGCCACACTGCGGATGCAATGGATGTAAACCCCATACTGACCGATCAAATTCTTCACCCCCCTCTGCGTGTTAAAGGGGCCTTTCACAAAGCAGCCAAACAGTAACACAACAGAGGGAGAAGGTCAGGGGAACCATTGACACATGCAAACCATGACAGTTGCGCTTTTAGCGCCACTGCCACGTAGAGTAGTTTCCGCTACTGTCGTCCCATCCGCTCCATCCGGACCAGTTCTGCCAGCTGCCTTGGCTCCAATGCTCACCCTCGCAGGCGGCGGGAGCACGTGTATCGGCATAGCGAGCGGCGTTGCGAGCGAGGTGCTTGCTGCTCTCGTTCCTCGAAAATTCAATCGAGTTACGAGCATAGCGCTCATTCTGGCTGAAAACCCAGTCCATCTCGTGGCGGAGGTCCTCCAACGTGTTGCTTCGCACATGGATGATGCCATTCCAACAACCAATGCTGCGAGGCTTGTCTTGCTCGAAGACCACGTTTATAAAAGCCCTTGGGCTGTAAGGCATCCCTTGGAACATAATGATCCAGCGAGAGGAAAGCGCATCTTGAAGTTCGCTGGGCAGGAACTCCAACTCCGTCTTGACATACGCGAGCCTTGCGATTCGCGACTCCGAAGTTGATCCAAGGCCAACTCCCAGAGTGCGCTGGGCTTGCGACTGCTTTGGAGCAGCCAAGACGAGATTTGCACACAACTCCATGCGGAGCATGTCCGCCTCCCGACGGCACACCTCAAGCATACGAACCCTGTATTGGAGGTCGAGTTCATAGCGATCAAGCAGAGAGTGGTAGCCGTTCTTCAGAGCGGACTTGTGCTTCTTCCGGGCTTCCTGAATAACAGCACTGTCCGGGGAGTTCAAGCCACGAATGATGCTGCTACGATCCTCCTCGCGGAGGTCAAAAGTTCCCACGGATGCCAAAACCTGGGCTGTGACATGGGTGCTGAGGCCCATCTTCTTCAGCAAGTTGGAACGCTGCACAATGTAATTCCTCTGCTGTTCTTTCAGCAGCCGAGGATTGAGGGGAGACAACTGCCCACATGACGAGCAATGGACCTGCCCCTCGAACACACTGTTGTTGCAGACCGGGCACGCGGCGACATTCAGCTCAACGTTCTCCATTGGGTTGAAAGTCTTCTGTCTCTTCGCTTCCCCTTGCGGGGCGCGAGGAGACGCCACATTGGTGCGGGTCGTAGCAATACGTTCCAGCGCTGTAGATCGATCATCAACCACGGCTTGGTCGCGCTTCATCCCCTGCGATTCATCCTCATTCGCCTCAGCTGGTGCACCTGCATCCGATTGCTCGGAGCGAGTGCACCATACATCGCCATTTGTAGCGTCCAATACCGAAATGATCGTGTAGTTGGGCACCTTGTCGCGCGTAAGGACGCCGTCGCTCTCAGTCTTGAAGAAGCAAAGCCCTGCGCGAATGGCCATCCTGAGGTCGATCTGTATCTCCAAGGGCTTGTTAGCACGTACACCTGAGATGTAATTTTCATTCGTGCTCGGAATGTCAGCGAAGAAAACGTGAGGTCTGCCTGTCTCGTGCTGGTCCCCTCCTCCTGGAAGCAGTCCGTTTCGCATAATGCTGGCGAAGTTCCGCTTATCGGTGCGATGATAGAGCACCGTAGGAGGGTTGCTGCAGACGTTCCAGCCAGACCAGCGCCCGAGGTCAGTCCCCGGGTTCACGTACCACTCCTTCGCGATGCCGGAGTCGTCGATTTGGAGCCAGTCCTCATGTCCTTGAGAGGCCTTTATCTTGAAAAGCCAATGCGAACATGGGACGTCTCCGCACCGGCCTGCGTCCGGGCAACCAAGCGCAATGAACCTCTGCTTTTTGTCCAGCTTGAAGATGTCCATGATATTCTGAATATTCCATGGAATGGGATGTCGCAGCTCCTTGCGAAGCGCGAGTCCCAGGTCTTCGAGGTCCATGTAGCCGTCCTCATCCATCACGTACCCGCATCCTTCTGTTCCACGACCACGGAGGATCTTGGAGATGCACGTCAGGGAACTGTGGTACTCATTTGCTGATTCTCCTGACAGAGGGGTCGTAATCAAAAGAGGGCTGCTTGATGATGTCGAGTCTCTTGGGGCCCTCACCGTAGTCGACATACTTCACGCCGCCATGAATGCTATACACCCAGCAGTCGTAATGGCCTCCAGTCACGTTCCTCCCGTAGGAGTCGAGTGGTACCGGTCTGCTTGCCGCCTCGTCCCTCTGTGCCACCGCAGCCGCCTTTGCACCGGCTTGCGCCGGGCGAACACTTTCGGAAACATCTGCACCGGAAGGCTCACCTGAAGTTGCAAACTCTGCTGGGTTGACGGGGGCGAAATCGAGGGGCTGCCGGACCTCCACTTCTTCACGGGTGAAAGGGAGCCCGATCATCTCTGACAAAGAAACACCGCACTTCGTTAGCGTTTCCTTGCAGTACGCGAGAACCTCAACGTTGACTGTGCAATCCTCTTGGTGGCGCACCTCGAGCACATCGATCGGACGCGTGGTGCAATCATGCGAACGTGTCAGCTCGGCTACGCTGCCCATTGCGGGGCGCAAGATGGAAAGCATATACAACATGTGATGGGTTCCGCGCATAAACTGGACAGTCTTCGTGATGTTGTCGTCACTGAAGCACATATGATACCTGTCCAGCAAATCGATGGTCTCGACAAAGGGTGTAGCATCTACGTACACAAACATTTGATTGGGGTCGCCGTGATGTAATCCCGGACTTCCGTCATGAAACGGTCCCAAATCTTAGAAAAGCCGTAGAGATAGCTCTTCGCGCCGGTCATGACTCCAAGGCATGCGCAGCCCTTGCGGGCCGCGAAATCCCTGGTCCAAGCCAGGTGCCGTTTGGAGTCAGCGAGAAGTTGCTCTGCATCGCCGGTGGGGGTATCATAAGGATATGTACCCGTGGGCTCGAGGCCGTCCTTCCCGACGAGCTCGTTGCCATTCCAGTAAATCATCGGAATGATGGTGGCAGCTGGGTGGTCGGTACGCACCTCGTCGATGAGGGCGGCCAACCGCTTGCACAGCTGCTGTAAGCCCTTGCCCCAAAGCATTTCTGACCTCCATGCACCGACACGCGCCGGGCGAGAGGCATCCAATCGCTCCGCAAAGTCGTACTTGCGAAGCTTGCGCTTCTTGCCCGAAACCATGGACAGTCCTGAATCAGCGACAGTCACATAGATAAGGAGGTCGCGATCTGGTACACGTGGGGCCTGCAAAACCTTCAAGTACGGTTCGCTTATGGTTAACAGGGGTGTAAGCAATTGCAGGTAGTGCGGTTGGTCCTGCACCCATGTATGAATAAGCGACTGTGCAGAGGTCGTCTCGAGGAGGCTCTTGACCGTGGCGGCGAGGTTAGCGTCGTATTTGCCGTTCGTGCATACCGATGTGGTAGCGACATTCTCCATCCACCTCCTCCATGCCGGATCGCAATCCCTCGCGGGATGCGCCATAGCCGTCGCGCTGCTCATTGCGAAAAGGATGCAGCACAATCACTCGAAAGCAACGGCTGCATGGTGGCGTGTTCGGAAAATGCATTGTGAACGGCATCAGTGTAAACATACGTGTATCCCTCGGCTTCCTTCAAATAAGTGCCACGGCTTTCATCATGCTCGTGAGAACCATCACACTTGAAGTACTCAACCACGGAAATTGTGGGCATATTACTGGCAACGACCCATTGCTTTTTCATAGGTTTTCCGTTTCTCCCTTTAATGCCGATTTTGCAACCATGGAATTCGTACTTGTTCATCTTGTACTTAGTCAAGAAACTCCATAGTTCGGGCCATTTCCAATAACGACACGCCTTGGGAAGTTCGAAGGCAACTCTAACGTCATCAGAATAAACATCATTGAGAATGCGTTTGAACCCTCTCAACAGTGATCGGAATTGCTTGATGTGGCCCTCGATCTTGGCGGCACCTTTGGGAGTTTGCTGGTTGACATAACCCCACGGGCATCCTCCAGTGCATGGCAACGAAACATAGAACATTATTGCACCCTTAGGATTCTTGCTCCTGAATTCGGCAATTTCATGGACTAACCACTGCCTGCACGTATCAGAGCACCCGTCTTCGGTTTCAGTTACCCGAATGACACGACAACCTTTTGAAGAGTCTCTTGATTCGCCCAACCGTGAGGTCGTCGAACAACAGAACTCAATAAGGAGGCGCTTGGGCTGAGCGTTGCATAACGCAGCGATCTGCCCCCCCTGATCACTAACTTCTCCGGCCTTGGCGCATGGGGAGAGCAGCAAACTGGTGGCACAGGCTCGCGCCTGGCGATTGGGGGAGATACCGATCAGCTCAAGTGCATGGTGCCACACTGGGGTGCTGTCAAACGCCTTGGTCAAGATGTCTGCAGCTTGGAGGGTAGTGTCAACATTGATTAATTC